AGTAATAGGAAGGCGGCGCTGGGGTCCTCACCGAGCACCCAGACAGTACAACATTGGTACTGCGGGAGGCGGCGGGGAGGATTTGCTCCATTTACCGATCTGAGATGGTGGCGCCCAAAACGGCAAAGCAACATCTCCTGAAGCACCCGTCCTTCGAGGAAGACCCCATAATCATTTGCTCCGACTCGCAGGCGTCGCTGGCGACGCCACGAGGTGGACAAGTGGCCCAGACACCCCCCCCCCCCCTCATCCCCTAGGTGCCGCCATCTGGGAGTATATGATGGCCCTAGTGGCTGTAGGGGGCCGAAGAATCCACCATAGAAGGAGGGCGGCGATAGCCCGATTAAGCTGGGCGTCCAGTGGAGCCTCGGCTCTATCATGGGCATTGGGCAAGGACTCTGCGAGCACCCCCGTCTCCTCCATCTTCGACGGCACTCCAGTCAGAAAGCTGTCCCCACCCGAGTTTCCCAGCAGCATGGGCCACATGAAACCGAACAGCGCCGAGCCGCTCGACGCTGAGGACCAGGCGAGAGTAACAGTGAAAAGGTGAAACGCTCGAAACGGCGCGCGCCGCCGGCCGAGGGCGCCGAGCCGGCCCAGGCCGGCTGCGGGTCAAACAGAAGCCGTCTCCGCGGCGGCCGCCCAGTGACAGCGACTCGGACTGACGTCGAGGCACCGCTGCCGCCTCCGCCGACCAACCCGCCGCCCAGCAAGGGCAGTTTGAAGGCGGCTGCGCCGGTGAAGGTGGCGCGGCCTGGCAGGGGCCGCGGCCGGCCCACTCCCAGCTACCCGTCCCGCGAGGTGCTCAGTACCACCGACTCGTCCGATTCTGAGGCAGCGCCGTCGGCGGGCCGCCGCCAGCAGTGACGACGACCGGCTGGCGGCGTTCGCGCGGGACTTGTCCGACTCCTGGTACTCGGACTTGCCGCCCAAACTGGACGCCGGCGGCGTGAGCACCAGCAACGCCAATAAAAAGTCCACCTTCATCCGGCTCTTCTCGCACCGTGTCAAAAGGACTACGCCGCGCGGCCGGCCGGCCAACTCGAATGAGCGCAGCGAAGGGCACACGTCCCCGACGGCGGCACTGGCGCCTCCCGCCGCGCCGCTGCCGGCGTTGCTGGCAACGCCGATCCAGGCCCATCGATTTCTACTGTTTTGTTGCCTACGTGCCGCTGCCGCCGCTCAGCCAGCACAATGGCGTGCCGGTGTTGCGCTGTCGGATCGAAAAGCGGCTCGTGCAGCGGACGGACGGGTGCGGCCCGCGCGATGAGCCGCCGCCGCACACCGAGCTGCGCCGCGCGGACGTGAAGGTGGAGCTGGCAGCGGCCTGCTCAGTCCCCTCAACGGCGTCGACCGGCTCTCCGGCGATTTGCGGTCAGAAACGCCGCCGCTTCTGGGACCAAGGTGTCAGAGCGCGGCGCTGCCCATGAGACGTTACGTTAGCACAGGCAATGTCGTCTGCACTCCTTGCAGTTCATGTTGAATACACAACCATGTTGCGAAGTAATAGGCGCCGGGTTTTTCAGTTCATAGAACTTTTTCCCTGGCTATTACACCCCACAACCGAACACTGACACCTTGCACAAGTATGACTGTGTGTATGAATGTTAATAAATACATGAACCAATGTTGTGTTTTCGGTTCCAGTACCTTCTTTGGGCACCTCGGCAACAAGTAAGTAATCCGTTAGCTTTGCCACACCTAAGATAGGCTCCCACGTTGTTATTTGCTCCCGGGTTAACATAAACCGGTTTAACGTAACTTTTGCATCCCGGCCAAAATTGCCGGTTAACTGTCCCACCGCTCGAGACTGGCGCTAGGCTGGCCGAGCAAAAAAAAAGTTTGTCCGCGGCTTCGTCTTATTCGCAGCTGCTGGACACGGGGGAGGGGGGAGGAGGGGCTGCATCGGACGAAAAGCGGGCTCTGGTATTAACTGGATTTTTTGCCAGCTGGCGCCGTATGGTGGCGCTAGCAGAGCTTCTTACATATCAATGCTAGATATATGTAAAAGAATGAATATTTACCAATCAATTTTTCATTTAAAGCCATTTGAAATATTTATGTCCATCCTACTACCGCGCTTAGGTATATCTAAAATTAAATACCTTTCGTGCGTCGCCAGCTGGCCAGCCAGCTGACGCAATCCAGCTTTTACCAAAGCCCCGAGAAGCGATGACGTGAGCCCTAATATTGGCTTCACCACACAATTTGAGCCCTCAAACTGGAATCAGGTGAGCTCGAAAATGGGGATCAGGCTGAAAACTGGTATCATAGTGAGACTAGTTTTAGAGCTTGACACCGATAATGGGTACTGACTGAGCTCTGTTTCTGCGATCAATGATACCGATTTAAGGGATCGTATGAGCCCATGTGGCGCTAGCTCAGAAAGTATTCTCGAAATGTGCTGTCTGTTTTGAATATGGTACATTAGCCCGAAAACTGGTCTCTGAGCCCGAAAATCGGGACACTGTTTTCTCAGTGTACCAGCATGACGAGCATTCTGGGACATTTTGATTTCATGCAGACACGATGTGAAGGAACGACCATCGTGTATTTTACTTGTGCTTGAAGATACCCCCTCTCTCGCCGACACGAATCAGCCCGCCTGAGCACGTGTTGAACGGCACCATGGACTCCCATGCTCATTAGGCGGACTGAAAAGGCTCCTATCACCCATTTTCAGCTCTGCCAGATATTTCCAACGTTTTCTTGTTATATCTGCCATACCTGGGTCCAAAAACTAGAAGTCTAGAAAGGGCAGGTCGAGGATTTTGCTACTGGCGGCCCTGGTGGTGTCTGATTCACTGTTTTTGTTTCTCCCTGGAGACTGATTCTTCAGAGGCTGCACATACGCCAGATGGACCGTTTGAATGTTATTTATGATTAAAAGCTTGTTCATGCATTATTTAACGTCTTTCTGAGGTATCTCCTTGATGATCCTATGCTTCGAACTGCCTCAAAGCTTCAAAATCATCGTTTTGTGTCGTTCCTTACTGAACGGCGGTGGACCATGCGTCCCCGATTGGTGGGACATTTTCAGGCTTCATTGGGGCCTTCGGTTAAAAAGGTTAAATCATGACACCATACAAAATGTCCCAGATTTATCTATTACGTGCATTGCTTTTTTGCACAAGATTTTTCGCTTTAGGGACCACCATTGACGTTTACTTTTTAACAGTTAAAAAAAATCACCCTGTATATGTGGCACAAGACCTATGGTTGTCTCGATACCGTGCCAAATCACGTTTTGCACAATGCACAAGTAAATTATATTCGCTGGGTCTTCCGTGCATTGTGCTTAGCAAAAACAGGAATGCGATTGTTAAGCGACGCAAAATGTGCAATGCAGCAAGTGACCACACACACCCGCCCAGCCCCCCTGGTCCACCAACACGCCCCACACCACTCGCCAGCCCACGCCAACCACCGAGACGAGCCCCTCCCCCCGCGCTGGTCTGACGCGACAGCTGGTCTACAAAGCGCTCCACCCGGCGACCCGAGCCGATGTCAAACGGCGTGGGTAGACTGTGCCGCTTCACTCTCGGGTCATGCGGCACAGCCTATCGGTAGCAGGCGGCTGCTGCCAATGCTGAGCCATAGGAACCCGGTGGATAAAGAGTAGGGGACCATCAACCTGTACACGACTACCACCAATTACCTAACGGACTGGTGCGACGCGACGGTTGACTCGTCCTACGACCTGTGTACGTCGTGCGATACGGTAGAGATCAGGTCGGGATGGAGACCCGGAAGGGATTGGATGTCACCGTCGCCGTCACCGTCATCGTCACCGTCACACCGTCATGTCACACGCACTGAGCGGTACCGTGACGGGGGCGCACGCGCGGAGGACGTCACCACACGCACAACGAATCAACATGCGAACGGCGAAACGCATCCTCACGCGGAACTGACACTGGACAGACAGACGGCGGCGGGGTGGATTTTATGAAGGTTCCCGCCCAGTATCATGAAACACATTTCACGTTTGTTGTAGCTGCAACTCTCGCTGGCATTGACCATTCTGCGATCTGTATCCTTCGACGGTACGGGTGGACGTTCACATGACCCCTCACATTTGCCCCTAATTGTCCTAATTATTTATTTTTGCTAAGCTGGAGCTTAACAAAGCAGGAGGCTAATGGTATCCGATTTCAAGGGCTCATGGGAATCCATGATCTTACAGGCCATGGCATAAGCCAAAAAGTCTTTCTTTTTTTGGCGAATAACTTCTTAAAAAGTTAAAACAATGTCACAGAGCCAAATCCCAACAACTATTTGGTACTGTTAAGATGCCACGAATGATATACCTATCTACTTTTTGTACGAAAGGGTTGAGGTCAAGGTTAACTCTGGCACATGCTAGGTCACATTAAATCAAATAATCACAACACGAAAAAACGGTCAGTAATCAGTCGTTTCTTTCGTTAGGTATACAGGCGACATGGCATTATCCATTTACATAGATCGGGTCTAGCTGAGCAGCGAGCACTGCTCAGTGCTCAGCTCATAGCGGGCTCCCCAAAATGAGTGACAAAAAAAAAATGCAAAACCAACTTGGCTATAGGCATGGCAGACATGCTTCTATGTAGGTATGCAAACAACGACCCTTTCATGACCACGACAGACCGATTCTGTTCATCACAGTTGTGTCTATCACGCTACATTACAGGTTCAGGAGCTGTAGGCACCCACAGCAGAGACTCGCTTGTTGTGCCCAACCGGAGCGACTCGGCTCGACACGACGCGAGAGACCGGGTCGGGTCGACCCCTTGACCCCGTGACCCGCACCGCGCTCAGAGGCCGCAGCATCAGCCGACCCAGCGGCCGCGAGGGAGGGGAGCGGGGCCACGGTGACGGGGTGGGGTACCGTCACTCCGGCGCAGCGCAGAGATAGGAGAAACTGGGCTGGGATAGATAAGAAATGCCAGACAGAAACTGAGACACTGAACCAATCAACACTGAATAACAAGGCGAAATACATGTTAAATCAGACCTACCTCTCGCTTTCCGTTAGCGTTGACGGTGTTGCTTCCACGTCACGATAGTCTTGACACGCCCTCAGGCATCCTCAAGTGCCATACACCAGTCACAAGTCAGTCCATCTACTCTCCCCACGTTCGGTCCATACCGGCACAGCGCCCCACCTTGTCGTTTGACGGGGCCTCCCTCCATGCCCCGCCCGCCACGGCAGCAGCGGGCCGACTGGTGACTGCCGGGCGCCGCCTGGTGCCGCCGGCCCCGTCCCACATACGGCCCATCCTCCCGGCCGCCACAGCCGCCGCCCGAGAGGCGGGAGAGAGAGAGCAGACGGAGAGGAAGGGCAGAGGGCGGGAGACGGGCGAGAGGAGAGGGAGGATGCGGAACGGGGAATATTGGATGTTCGGGAAATGCAAAAATGCGACGGATGAGTTTCTATGTTGTCCCCTTCATCTGATGTTTCACATAGTTTTACGTTCACAACTTTTTTTCTAGAGTAGGTGGGCATGAACTATTACTGGGTACTGGGTAGTGTCCCCATCGCAGCGTTCAATATCACCTCTCTTGATGCGTCGCCAATGAGCTTAAACAATTGCTCTCAAATACCCGAGTCTTGGTGAGGGAACAAATGACTGGCAATATCCACGAGCCCCGGTAATTTCCGTTATCCGCCGAGGAACAGAGGCTCCTGTCCAGGGCCGTGCTCCTGTCTATGTAGAGCCCGTCCAGATTAACAACAGCGGTGTAGTGTCGTAAACTAACGGTTAGTTAGGAGCCACGGCGGCATTGTTACAGCCCGACGCATAGAAGAGGCCTAGTTCGGAACAGGGAGGCCTCGGCTTTGCCCAGCTGTTTAACCTAACCAAAGTCAAAAACATCCTTTGGAAAACAAGGTCCAAGGCACACGGAAGGAACTTCCTAACAGAAGCATCATAACATGCAGTTATACAGGTTTCAAGAACCAGTTCGGTCATCGAATGTGAAAAAGTTTGTTTTCTAAGGAAATGCATATGTCCGACCATACACTACTGTATCAAACAAATATAGATACGTAGAAGTCTATGGTCCGACTAATTTTACGCTCCTAAAGGGGTTGCATGCAGGTCTATTGGTACCATGCCGATAAAGGTAAAGACGTGAGTGAAAATAATGCTAATGAAAGCTAAGGTAATGTCATGGGATGGGCTTCAGATAACAACAAATGCTCAGATACCACAACGAAATACTGATAGACGAAAGGCATCGGTAATGTGTAAAGCGCGCTCAAAGAAAATGAAAACGATGTGCTCATGCATTTTAATGTCCACTGCACAACATAAATGTAACAACGAACTCAAATCACTTTGAAAAGTGCACAGCGCGCAGAAGTCATTCACAACCCCTTACTCACGGAGGGGCTTTTGAAAAGGCTCAAAGGAATCGGAGTGCCATGCGCTAAACCTGCTTTTAACCACGCCCATGTTTGCAAATGTCAGTTAACCCCAAATATTGAGCAGGTAACATTTACACATGTGATATTGCACTGGGGCACATGTGAATAAGGTAGATAGTGATGGGCCTGAGAACCTTCAGCAGTCACATAACAGCAAACCATTCACACCACGAGCCAAGAATGATCTCGGTTCCAACCGTCGTTCCTCAGCAAAGAGGATCCACTAGTCAGATAAATGTTCAGTTAAGCTTGGTTCAGTTAAGTTACAGAGTTAAACGTATGCGCAGGCCAGTCTCCATATTTTTTGGGCTGGTTATCCCAAGCTGCACACACCAGGGGACTCGAAACACAGAGAAACTTGACGAAACGGCGAACAGTAAAACCCTGGGCACTGGGCAGCGGAGTCCTGCCGTCTCTTGGGATTCCTGCAGACCTCTCCTCTTGCGAGAGTTGATAAAACGCTAGGTTCCAAGCTTGGCCGCAGGTGTCTATTTGCGCTGTCGCACGTCCCCTGCAGTCTGTCCCGGTGGAGGAGGTCTAAGGAAACGGAGAGAGGAAAGGGCAGAGCAATCAGGATAATCGAGGAGATGGGCTGGAAGGAAGAATTTTCAAGTGATGACAAAGAAACGTGAAATGCTGCCGAGTGCTGATATTCACACTACAACCGGCATGATCGATATGACAGTCTTAATCACCCTCGTCTAAACACCCCTAAATGTCCCGGTTTGTAACCTACGCTAAGTAGCTATCACAGCTGACGACTCGCGCCGGGGGAACGGCCGGGGCCGCGGTCACTGACTTGTCTGTGGAGCTCTCCTGGTCGGGATCCTCCACCACGGCCGGCTTGGGCTTCCTGGACTCGCAGAAGGAGATGATGGCAGCGAGCAGCAGCAGCTCGGCCACGATACCGATCACCGGCCACAGCGCGGCGTATTTGTCTGACCGGGGGACGAAATGTATCAGGGGGGAGCTGGAGACCGATTCGACGGGGACATCACTAGAGACGTGCTTGTCTGTCCCGGGGCCGGAAATACGTCAGCCGGAACCCGGAGGTAAATTTTAGGAGAAAAGGACATCGTGCATACTGCTGCATAGTAATTGGTAACGTCTCCCGAGAGGCGACCGCACCCTGTCACGACAGGGTATGCATTGCGCTCTTTCTATGCTCTCATCCCCTCCCCTCCCCCGTTCTCCCACTCTCCACACGTGTCGTATCCCCCCCCCTCCATCCCCTCTGTGACTGACCTTTGACCCTGACGATGGTACATCCGACGGCCGCGTTGGCGACGCTCTGGGCGTGGCAGCAGTAGTCGCCGACGTCGTCGGGCCGTCGCAGCGTCGACAGCGACAGCAGCGCCGACGGGAAGCCCAGCTCGTCCTGCTCCAGCTGCAGACGGGTGGAGGCGTTCCCGATGGCCTCGGCGATCGGGTGGGCGTCTGACGGCGGCGAGTGGGAGGTGGGAGGCTCGGCGGGGGGGGGGGGCAGGCTGGTCGGAGGTAGGTGGGGATCGACAGAAAGGATGCATATTGGGGGCATGTGTAATGTGTATAATCAGAAGCTATCGGTGAATTAGCCGTTTTCAGACGGTCATCTAGTAAACATGTTGTTTTCATTTGATGCAGACTTTAGTCAAATTAGGTTCATAGTTATTTTAGTGAGTTTTCAGCTTAGGGAGCAGTCGTTGATCATTTGAATCAAATAAAGAAAACCAGACTCAATCACAACGGCCTTTCAGTCAGCTATAGGACGGAAAATCGGGTGCATTTAAGACGATCTCGATAATTTATACCGGTAAACTGTGAGCGCAGCGGATGGTTCCATCCTCACCTTTGGTCCAATGGACGACCGGCCAGGGTTTGCCGCGCATTTTGCAGTGAATCATCAGATCCTCTCCCTCCATCTTATTTATGGAAACCCCTGGCATCCTCACGGTGACGTTTGCTGCCGGCACGTACGAAGGGACAGGGACGTGATGAAGTCGAAAATGAAATCGTCGATAGCACGCACACACAATAGGGAATGCATGATGTAATATGTATGCAAGCATGCATACACATTACGTAGTCTCTTCAATCGTCTCTTTTTTACAAAGATCGAGAGAGATGAGATAGGGTGGCACACGTACACATAATTGCCAGATGATTATCTCACAATGCAGTTGGGCGTAATTAACGTACGTCATCTCCATTCTTTATGCACTGCATTAGACTTATGGTTAGCACTTAGCAGTTAGTTAACACCGGACACCTCCATAGCGCCGCTCGCCAGCAGCTCCACCGTTGCGTCACCGCCCTACGGGTCGCTCCGCTCCCGTCCAAGCCGTGGACCCCCGGCCTGACTCACCAATAACCTGGACAGTAGCCTCGGGCCGGCCTTCGGCCGTTTTCACGTCGAACACACACGTGTAGTTGCCCGGGTCGTCCATGGGCGACGGCTCCAGAATGACCAGCGAGTCTCCGGCCGTCTTCACCCGGTCGGTGGAGTTGATCTTCTTACGGTCACTGCCCTCCGATGATTTGTACCTGCGGATAAGAGGCATTTGAAACTATAATGCTATATATCTGAAAATGAAAATATGCGATTAAGTTTCCGACCCAAGCAGATTTCCCTTTAGAAGTTTCACAACATTATGAAAGAAACTTCCAAGAATTCAAGGAACCAGTCTAGCACTGCCTCTTTATGAAGACGGGTTGGTTGGCAGCAGGGCTGCGGAGTCGGAGTCGGAGTCGGAGTCGGAGTCGGTCGGAGTCGACAGTTGTGACCGGAGTCGGAGTCGGAGTCGGAGTCGATTTTAGAAACCCGAGCCGGAGTCGGAGTCGGAGTCACCGAAAATATGTCGACTCCGCAGCCCTGCTAGGTCTGCGGAGTCGGAGTCGGGAGTTCGAGTCGGTCGGAGTCGACAATTCTGCCCGGAGTCGGAGTCGGAGTCGGAGCTGGTTTTTGAAAGCCGGAGTCGGAGTCGGAGTCGGAGTCGCCGAAAATCCGTCGACTCCGCAGCCCTGGTTGGCAGCACAGAGCTGTAACTTCTACTCAAATTTACGGTGAGAATGACTGAGTTCTCATTGCGACGTGGGACGCCCCCTCCCTCCCCCAAGTGACCCCCCTGTGTGCCCCAGTTCAGGCGGCAGAAGCGGAACCCACCAGGAGACGACCAGTACGTTAGGCGCGTCGCTGTTCTCCAGCGAGCAGTTGATGATGAACGGATGCCGGGGCATCACCAGCAGACGATCCGTGTCGTCTGCGCTGGTGCGCACGGACATCGCCGGAGCGACGGCTGGAACAGGGTGTAAGCAGGTGAGCTGTTGTAGGCACGGGAAGGGCTGCGTGGTTTGAGCATGCACAGAAAATGATTGGGTAAGCATAATGTTTGGGCATCTCGCATCCCAGATCCAGATCCAGACGACACATCGTAAACGGAAACGTCAAACGGTCGTCCCCACACCAATACAAATATGTCGTAAAAAAGTCGGGGCCGTATTCACGTCAATCATTTTCGTAAGAACTTTCTTGCGCATGACCTACTTCTTATGATTTTTTTAACGTGGACTCTGTCGATAAAAACTTAGGCAACAAGTGTTGACCCGAAAGCCAAATTATGCTTACGAAAGAAAATCGACTTACGAAGTCGACGTGGTCGTGAATACGACCCCAGGGCCCAGTGCAGGGATTTCAATTTTAGCGGAATCACAGAGCAATCAGTTTGTAAAATGTGCAGGCACATCATAGGCGTTCCCAGGGGGGGGGGCACGGGGGCCAT